GGCGCATTCCAGAGTTTTGCTGCTCCGTATCCCGCAGAAAGAACGGTTTCGTCTCCAGCCGCCCGGAATCGGCTATCCGCTCAACGATTACAAAACTGTCACAGCTCCCAGCGACCCAGAATCAGCTCTTAATCGAAGATGGCACTCGCAATCTTAATCTTACATCTATTGCGTAACGAGAACAACAACTCAATTCCCCTCGGTCTAGCCGCTGAAAAATTTGATAAATCGAAGTTCTCATCGCCATTTGAGCCGAATCTGATCGATTCTCTGCGGGATTGAAGCACCGGCCAGCGAGAACGCCGCCGAGCATCGGAATCTTCGATCTTACGGCGGAATTATTTCCGATGCTTCAAGGCTGGAAGGAGTTTCAATCCGACAGCGGTTCGATGCTCATTTTTCGCTCGTATAGAACGACCGGTTCCATTGAAACAATCGCTTTCCCTCAATGCTGATGCATTCTGGTATCAATTTCTAAAAGCGTCGGCCGGTGAAAACGAATCTTCGTACCGAATAATAATATGCCAGGGGGAAAAATGAAAGTGTGTTGAATCGAATCTCTGTGTTGGATTCCCTCCTCCGCTATCGATGGGCTCCCGAGTTTCTTTATCGAAAGTGCTTCGATTTCGTTTTCGGAAGCGGATTCTCAACTAGTTCACTGGGTGCTGCGGACTTTTTCGAACGAGAGGGAACCCAATCGACGATCCTGTGCATCGACTTCGATTGACCCGGTGATCGCCACGACGCCCAGCTCGGAAACGAGACTCCCACTCCTTCGGACATCGTTCGCGGCCCAGAATGAGCACGGCAAGAGGTCTCCTCGCGACATTGATCGGTTCCCCCCACGGATCGGCGTAGAATGCGCAAATTCCGTCTCCCCTTGGCGGGGCGCGATTTGTTGTGCGCCCCGACTATCATGTTCTCCCTCCGTAGTCGAGCGATAGACTCCAAGCCGGATAATCGCTTCGGCTGAAGCTGGTGCGTTTGAAAGCTCTCGGCTGGGGGGAGGAATTCAGGGCAGAGAAAGTTTGCCACGATCGCAGAATAAATGCCGCAGAATCGGTTTGCGTCGGAAAGGAGGAGTCTGCTGTACAGTTCACCTACACTGGATTGTGGCGTCGACGCGCATAGCAGAAATCGATCAACCCTTCTATGTTTTGTGGTTCTCGATTGGGTTCACGAGGATTTCTTATTGGAAAGAAGAGCGGCCTTCATCGGAACGACTTCACCATAGAACGTCCTCAGAATTTTCCCATGTTCAATCGTGTGACAGCCATAATTACCTGTATTGGAAGTTCGAACGGTGGTCCGTCTGTTTGCCAGAAAGTTCGTTCGAACGAATTACGACGACGACGCACGGTCATCACGTAAGGAGCTCATCCAGATACCGCCAGAGCTAAAGGCTCGATGCAACGCATTCAGTTCCGGTAACGTTTCGCACACGACCGAAGATGCCTGCCCCCACACCGGCGAGGCTGATTTCCGAGGATCCGTGACTCCCACCGAGTCCAGAGTTCTTTTTGCGTCCTCTTCGGAACATCCCGATTATTATCCGCGAGCCCTCAGGCGTACGAGCGATGAACTGCTCCCCTTACAGCTTCGATTTTCCCTCTGGCGGTCAAGGGCAGTGATCGTGTTTAGTCGTTGGTGGACTGACGAGCGGCTCTTGACCGTCCCGATCGACCCTTCGACCGCTGCTCCGACATTGTGACAGAGAAAGAGGGTGCGTGTGAACTGGGGAATTCTTCGACAGGGAGCTCGTAGGTCGCGGACACTCAATTAGTTCGGAGTGGAACTGAGAGGCTTGATTAAAACTTGTGAGACTTCCAGAATATCGACCAACAAAGGGTCCGTGAAGAGCGCGGGTTTAAACGGTGGAAAGTCATTGTGTAAACCCCAGAACCGTTAGCTGTGAGAAGGATGAAAGTACCCCATGTTCCAGAAGTATCTCCCCGGGCTAGTGGAAATAAACAGTTTTTAGCTCTCCTGCATTTATCAGTCCGAGGTGAACAATTAGACAGATTGCGGCTGCGGTCATGTGTAGTCTTGTCGCCGAGCGAGCGAAACAAGGCGCATTGACGGCAATTTCCATTGTTGTTGTCGATGCGGAGAACTTCTGTTCCTGGACAGGCGGAAAGAGGGGTATCATCACGTTCATTGTTGTGACCGAACGGATACTATGATGTATTCGTTCGCCACGAAAGCGATGCCCGATTATGAAGTTTCTGTTTATTCGCTTCAAACGCATCAAGTTTTTCGTGTCCTTTGTTCCTTAAAACAAAATGTCCGAGCAGAAGATTGTGCTCGTCTCGTAACCGAGACGAGTGTTCGACCCTGACGTGTTGCGAAATTCCAGTCGCGTATTAAGTACACACACATACACACACACACACTCGATGTCGATGTCTGGTAGAAACGAATCGCTCCAGAATTCTTGACCTGGCGGCGACGCAAAGATCCGACCCGCCAGAGGTATTTCAGTAACTCTGGACGGCTTCGAGCGACATCTTAATACAATCAAGTCGCGTGCGCTTCGAGCAATTCGTCGATTTTGGTCAGATTATCGAGGTGCTCAGACCGAGCGAGCGGGCGGCAGCAGCGGCGGCGGTGGCAGCAGAAGAGAAAAGGGGAGATTCGTGTTGTTCTTCATTCTTTACTCCTCCTCCTTTTTCTACCGCTTCCTCTTTTTGGGTCAGACGTACTTACATAGATCCTTGGCTTCTGTCTTTGCGGTCTGAGTGTCCACCCAACGACGTTGTCTATGATGGATAGCGGTTGCGTCCTGACCCGAGTGTCAGGCGGTTCTTCTGCCACATTTTCATCTTCTGTTTGCTGAACGCGTTTGCGAATCGTAACAAATCACGCTCAGAACTTACGAAAGCCTCCGGACCACGACATGGACGGTCGTTTTTTCTAATCGGAGCCGAATTCTCAAACGGAGTCGATACCCCGACGCAACGGGTCCTCGATTTTCCGCTACATTGTAATCGCCCGGCCAGAAAACCTTTCGGAAATGAACTCGATCGCTTAAGCGATGAGATTTCCATAGCACGAGGAATCGGGAAAACCATTATTGAATTTACTTCGGGAGAAAAGAAACATAAGATAGTTCTGCCTCGGTCGCCGCAGACTCAAGCCTCCTGCGTTTGAGGTCACGCGCTCATCACTCCGCGCTCCAGAAAAGCGCGCCCACCGCACGTAGTCAGTCTTGTCAACCGACTCGTCTCCGAGCGGTCGGCGCTTTATCACGCGCGCGGCGATCATCGTCGACCGAAGCATGTTATGACACCCAGTCCCGACTGTCCGAACTGGGTTTCGGGAGAACCTTCATTGTCAGAAACTCATCATTCCGTCGAGGCTTGTTCCCGCTCCGCGTATCGAGCGGTTGACGCATTCGTGGGCGCTCCGGAAAATCGGCAATGACTGAGGGGGCCGATCTCCAGCGGAGAATTATGCTAGAGGATCTCATTCATCGAGCGATCTGTGACAGAACAGGAGATGTAAATTCGGCTGAAGTCTTGACGTTCGGATCGGTTGTCCCATATTCGGCTGTCGTTTCCTAATTGCCTTAGGTGGCAAGGAACCGCGACGAGATCAATGATCGTCGCAACAAGCAGAGCGTCCCATTTTGAGAGATCAAAGTGCCTCTCGTACCGTTGAGCAGGTCGGTCAGAAGTTCGTACGGAGACCCGAAGATACAGTCAGTGCGTTGGAATGACCGACCACAGTGAAGCGTGTCCGGATCCGATTGTTTGCGCATCCAGTCTGGAACCTGAAGACAGGAGGAGCATGACGTATAAGAAGCAGTGGCATGCATAACACATTCAAATCCGCGACACAGATATGACGCAACCCGAGACGACGAAACAAAAGCTCCTTGGATGCTTGACTCGCTGCATCCAGAATCGCACAGAAAAACTACAAAAACTAGACCGCATACCAGGTAGCTTAAATTGTTTTGCTCACGTCCGTGTACTTTCAACGAGACAGTACCGCGTATAACCTTCCAGGCTGCGCACTCTACGCATGATATCTACCCCGAAAACACCAAACCACGTATGCAAGAAGCGGTCGGGGATTTTCTCATAATTCGTCCGCACCGCAGAGAAAAGCACTTCTGGAAGGTCATCTGAAGTCTGCGGGCCCTAACGCTTAACTAACAGTTGTAAAAATAGTTGAGACCATAGGATCACAGCGAGTCGCCGCTCAAATTTTGTTTATCTTCTGATATAAATGAAAAGACCACCGTTAAACGGCGCGGACAAAAGCTGACCCGATGTGCTTGACCCCGGAGATGAGGACGGCTCGTCAGAATCGGCCTGACAGAAGCGTGTTGTCAGCAAGTCTAAGATCCACATAATGGCGCAGCCGATCATGGTGAGACTCGACGCGAGAATTCAGTCGAGCTCAGAACAACGAGTCATTCGACGGGAAGGAGCATCCGCAAAGTTTGTCAATAATTTAGTTCGGGCTCACGCGACACATTGAAAGCCTGACCGACTCACGAGACTCTCGGAGTGAATCGTAATGTCGAATACTCCGTGAAATTCACAGATTGGCCTTTGCGAGAAAAAAAGGGATATCGCCCGAGACTCGGGATACTGTCGGATACCGCCACACCATCGATATCTCCTAAATGCCGGTGAACCTGACGAGTCGGTGAATACACCCGTGGCACCTCTCGCATAGGCTGTAAATTCTGTATTTAGCCGAAGACTGAATCTATTAACTTTATGTTATATTGACAAGAGGATATAATAATTCGCACAAGACAGACACTCGGGAGGATCCGTGGCGGACACGGCGATCCCAAGGAACCGGGCAGGGAGGCGGCGGGTACCCGAATCGTCGTCAGAGACTGCGGACGATTCGGAAATACGAGCCATTCTTCTAGCGCAATCGATGGAGTCAAGGCTCCGAGTCTCCATGGAGCTGTGATATTATTCTGTACCGTTCCAAGCTGGGAATACTCCCTAACTAGAGAGCTTTATCGTCGATAGGTGGGCCTGCAGCACGGTGATGACACGACAAAATGAACTCCCATCTCTGACGCCAGGCCGCATGCAGATGGCTCTGGTTCCGTTATGGGACATGTGCAACCATGACACCCTGAGAGTGAGTTGCTCAGCTTTTCTTCGGCACTGTAGCTTTCAATTTACCCTCTATCTCTCACATTGTCTCCGCCGTGTCTCAGAACTTCCAGAGGAATCGTGAGAGTGTGCGGCCCCTGAAGGTGTCTGAAAACTTTCAATTTCAGAGCGGGACAGATTACGATGTGGCATCTCAACAACTCGTATCGTTCGCGACCCGCGAATATAAGAAAAACGAGCAGGTGAACATATTCTACGGTAACCGCGCCAACGCCCAATTCATGCTCCACAACGGCTTCGTTCCCGACGAGAACCAATGGGACTCTCTCGCAATCAAGATTGGTCTGTCAAAAGCCGACAAACTGTTCGAGATGAAACGGAGACTGTGCGAGCAAATGAAGATTCCGACGTGAGTCCGCGGACAGAGAAATACACTCGCGAATGTTCCCGCTATCGCAGTCGAAATGCAGAGCTTGCGTTGAACTTGGGGTTCTGCTGATTCCAGGAGCGATGTTTTCGAGTTAAAGAAAGCACCCGACGGAGACGGAGTTCTGGTGCCCAAAGTCCTCCTCCATCTGGTGCACATTCTGCAGTGGAAGGCGCCGTCGGACGGGACCACGAGCGGCACCGATGTCGGGGCAGACCCTTCTGATGCCACTGACCCTGTCAGAACTAAGAAAGCGAAGACGTTCCTACATGTGCGGTGTCAGCTTCTGATGAAAGCACTACCAAGATCTGTCGAGGTGAATGTCGTCGTGATTCCTCCGGTCATCATTACTATATTCAGCTTCGCCCGCCGACTTGATAGCCCCCTTCGTAAACCTACAAAAACTCGTGCACTTATCAAGCTTCCCACTATTCCAGGAACTAACCGAGATTCTCAACGATCCGACGACGAGTCTTGAATCGAAGCTCGCGATCCGCTACCGACTCTCCGAACAACGGATGTTGACCAATGCTTGCAACAAAATTTTATTCACGGTCTAGGGAGATACGTTATTCTGAGAAATTTCCGCTGGTAATTTTTCTTTATTCATTTCGTCTGGCGATCGTTTTCCGATGGCGTCCGCTCTCAGTTATTTCATGAGATTAAGGATATTCCTCTCCCACAACTGCCGCTGGTTACGGTTTGGGTATTCGAAGCTCCAGAACATGAATCCGGGTCTTTATCAGAACTTACAGAAAGAGTTCCGTAGGTGCTGATACATAAGAAAAGAGCGAGAATTCGTATGCGGTGCAGGCGGAAGTCAAATCGAGTGTTTATCGGAGTCGGAGGAGGCAAGACTGGAGTGTCGAGCTGAGAAATGATTCCTCCATCCGGAAAATTTGAATAAACCAGTGAGTTGGTGTCGCTCGAGTTTTCTAATTCATTGAGACATTTGGTGCAATCGATCTGTGGTATTCATGTTCGCTTCGGCGACCCGTGATACAGCACTGAGTGAGCGCTGGTTACTCTTCGGGGGCCTCAACTCATATTATCGTTAGCTACCCTGTTCGTTTGGAGTGGAGTGCTCGGAGCTTCCGTGCTGGGACGTTTTCTTCGTGCCCTTTCAAGATTGCAGGAATCGACGGAGGAGAGATAGCCGTCGCTCTCTCATGCATTCTCCTCGGATTGCGTGATTGAACTCAGCGTTGCTGTCGACCGCTTCGTGCTCAGCGTTTGATCACACAATCGGTGGCGTCCACCGGCTGGGAAAATCGACCGAGTAGTTTCTCCTTCCAAGGTCCGAAGCTGAGTTGACTCTGAAAGGGTCACGAATCCCAGCTCCAGAAAAGTTGATGGAGGATTCGAGAACTCGTGTCGCGATACTCATTAGGTGCTCACTCGGAGATCAGAGAGGAATCGGAATTCCTGACCGACGACCGTTCCTCGAACAGAAATTATTTCCCGATGGAGTCTCCGATATTTCTCCTGTCGTTCGAGCCGAAAATGCTTACTCAACCCCCAATACGGTCAATTCCAATGCTGTGATGAGCATCAGGAGGGAAAGAACTGGTCGATCATTATTCGAACTGTAATGATTGAATGGAGAATTCCTGGGCTTGCGCGTCATCTTGGGGTCTAACAATCAATGTCGCAATCGATGTTCCTCCGACGTCTGGAGTGAGCGAATACATCCACGGTACAAGCAGACTGATTGAGCAGAGGCTATGCGTTAGGCCGCTAATGATTTTCCATAACGGGAAATGACTGCGCCTTGGTGAATTAAATCGTTCGAGAGTCGTCGAGAACCCCCCTAGTCTCGCTCATGAGTCGCGCGACCAGTCGAACCGACCGCGTACAGTTGCAGAGCGTGGCTCCTTGCCAAAGAAGTCATCGATACGGATATGGGAGACGGAGAAAAGAATCGAGACTCAGTGCAGAGAACAGATTTCGTCGAACACGGGCTGTAAACCGAGGACGAGGGTCCGAGAATTTCGGGTCCGAGGCTTCACTCCTCTAGAGAACGTCATCGCGAACCCGGCGCATCCGGAGCCGGGATCTGCGGCTCCGGCGATACTGTGCCAGCTGTTGATCCACGTAAGTTTGGTAGCAGGAAGCGCTAGAAAACTCTCACTCCGCGGTCTCTTCCGAACACATCCACGAATATTCTGCTCTCAGCTCGGCAGACGTCAGGTAGGGCAGCGCGCTCTTTGAATCCTAATAGAGTTCTAATTGAGCTTCTCTCATTAGGACCCTCTTCGAAGAACGGTATTTCTGTTAAGAATCCGGCGTGACCATATGGTACCGACAGTGAGGGAATCGATTACCGAAAGTTACGAAGGGGCGAATCTGAGGAGCGAAGATTTCGATCGCTCTGAAGAACCGGTGCTGCACATTCCTTCGAGAAGTGACAGCCAGCGCTCTGTGTATGCTGGTGCTACTTGTTGCTGCGACTGAAATTCCGGAGAAACACTCCTTGTTCTTCAACTCTTTGCCCACGGACTAATCCGAGGTCTAGAGGATGCTCAAGAGGTCGAAATAATTTTGCTCCGGTCCTTTGTTGTATCTGTCTCGAGTTTGTTGTGTCTTTTGAGTAGGTTTAGTCAACAGATAGGGGCAGTGTCGAATTTCGAGCGGGGCCCTCATCCGTTCGAGCTTCTTGAGCCCCAAAATTATTGTTAGAAGAATGCCTACATGGGTAGAATCCCTTACGTCCTCAAGGAGCCGTGAGAATCTTGACCGGGAGACTAAAGTCGGGATATTGTCGCCTAGTCACTAGACGTACACGTTGATCAAATTCAAGATTGTGGTGGCTTGGAACTACGTTCTCCGAAAGCGCGGGATTTGCTGAATAATCCCCCTCGTAGGTTCGCGTTTTGATGGTGCGAGGCTGTGGCCCATCGATCATGATTCATTGATAAGCGATCCCCGCCGCAGGATTTGTGCAATTGATTGAAATTAGGTGTCGAAGCTTCGCGGTCACTCTCACTGTGATCACTCGACTCGAGGTCTTAACTCGATCGTTCTCCCCCAGATACGGACTGGTGCGGGATGAAGCACCTCGGTGCGCTCCAGGTGGCTGTTTTCTGCCTGGTTGTCACATTCCAGAACATAGTTTGCCCGCCCGTCGATCCCAACAATCAGGATCCGGGACCTCCACACGAAGTCAACAATGAAACAGATCCCGCATTTGTAAGCGAACTACCGTCTTTTGAATAACCTTTTTTGACGAGATTGGACTCGAACATCTGGAAGGCCATCTCTTCAATCGGGGCAAATCGTTTCAGAACCTCGAGTATGGTCGATATCTTGCCGAAGTGGTCAAAGTTTTGGAATCTGATCGCGACTTCGCGAAGAAGCTCGAGAACGCTTCACGAGACGAAATCACGGTAAGGAGCAAGCTCCGCTAGTATTACGGAAGGTCTCTCTGGCCGTTCCTATGATATGATTCCAATAAACACCCAAAGAGTACACGTCGCTCAGATAGCCGCTTCGATGGCGATAATTCCATACCTTCATGATTCCGACCGGGAGCCATCCGCCCACGAATCCTCCGTGAACTTAGAAGTGATCCCGGAGCCTCATATCTTCGATGATCATTTCAGAGCGGCCACGTCGCGAAGCACCTCGACTTGGTTGACCACAAGATTCGCACGAAGCTCGATGAACTGAAGCGGATCGAAATCGACAGGCTCCGAAAACTGACTCAGAAAAAAAATGAGCTCGAACATGGTGAGTTCCTCCTCCTTATCAGGGAAGGGGAGAGGGTCGTTCGCGAGACCTCGGAGGTGGGGGCTCGCTCAGGCCGATCTCAGCTGGAAAGGAAACGCGGGAAACGAAGGGCTCTTCAAGCAGGGAGCTCTGCATGGAGGTGTCCTTTGCGATTCATATGATCCTCAGTCATTGAGGGAAATGCTAACAGTCTGCTAACAATCTTCTCCTTGTGCGGCTCATAACTTGATACCGGATCAATCCCGTACATGTTCTCAGGAGTATACCGTGATGGTCGGTTTTGGAAATCGGTGAAAGGAGAAGGTAAAGTTGTGCCGCTTACCGCTGACGACTCGCTTGCGTTCCCGTTTGCCATGAGGGAACAGCCTGCTTGGTTCATATTCAAAGCCTGACTCGTCGTTCCTCTAAGCCCGAAAGCATCGTGCGTTTGCCGAAGTTCCGAGATTTGAAATCGGAAGGTTTCCCCTACGATTTCCGTGATAATCGGTCAAGGGGTCCCCGACGTTCCACCCCAGGTTGAGCTTTGAAAAATTTTCGCATGTAATTGACGAGAGCTCTCAGCATGTGGGGGGCTTCGTGATGATGGACAGGTCCAATGTTCCCCGGAATTTCATGAACCTTCGTCGGGAGACTCTTTTCGGAGGACCGAGGAAGGTTTTGCAGCCCCTCCGAGAATTCCATGACCGGAGTGAAAAATGGAGCGATGTTCCCAAATCGACGACGTGGAGGGAGTATCGATCCCGCAAAACTCGATGAATTTCTCGGCCCTCTCGGAGGAGCTTCTTCTCCCGAATTGTTCCGAAAGGTCCCGTGTGCCGAAAGTTTGCACCCACGGAACTCGTAGTCATAAATCTCGAAATCAGCCGTTCGTTTCTCGGGTCAGCGCACGAATCCAATAAATCTTCTTGGCCAATTCCAGGTATCGACAGGACTCACGTCATAAACGATCACGTCGACAAGGACAACCATCACACCTTTGAAATCGATGATCTGAAGAAGCTCATACAGGCGGTGAGTTTCGAACATCTGTCCGAACCCATCCAGCGAGAGTGTTCCCCGCGTAGATGCCTAATAGAAGCCCATACTGATTTTGAAGGCCACTCGTGACCTCGAGAAGCTCCATGAGGCTCAGAAGGAGGAATTCAAGAACTACGAGATGGAGAAGGAGTTTGAGTTTCAACAAGGCATCAAGAACATGACCGAGGATCAGAAGAAAGACGAACTCAAGAAACATGAAGAAGAGAAGCATCGGAAACATCCCTCAGCTCACCACCCGGGCAGCAAGGTCAGCGCATCTCCGGCGGCTACCAAGAAGATAATTGAGAGTGTGATACAAATTGGGCCCACTATATTTGGGCTATCACGCGCGGACTCCTAAGACGAACGATCGCCATATGCAACCCTCAATTTCCCACCCGCAGGCTCAACTCGAGCAAGTCTGGGAAGAGGAAGACCATATGGAGAAACAAGATTTCGATCCAAAAACTTTCTTCGCCATGCACGATCTCAATGGGGACGGAGTACTTGATGAACAGGAGATCGAGGCTATTCTGCAGCTAGAAGCAAAAAAGATGTACATGTCCGATCCTCAACATCCGGGAGACCCCAGAGTAAGTTGATGCGCCGGATCATTCGTTTTCGGTGCGAGCACTAGAAACTCTTCAGGGAGATTCGTGACCTGTATTAGGATTTCCCTCAAAACCCCAGTGATCTTCGGGGACTTCATCGTCAATCAAATGGCAAATCCTCCGTGTTCCCCCAATTGAATTTATTTCATTCCAGATGAAGGTGGTAAGTAGGGCGTAGGCTGTCGCTCAACGAATACCCTCAACCGAGATCCGATGCTTTCGTCGGCTGATTTTTCCGAGATCCGACATTGTTCCGTTAAGTTCTCATAATCCTCTGAATCCATCCTTCCTGCTCCACTCTCTGACATGTCTATCCCTTCGATTCCTCTGCTGATCGAACTCGACGACCGTTGCTCATAACAGAGAATGCGGATGCATCCCGAATTATCATCGGGATGAGATTTTCGTATGAAGTATGGATTCCATGCGGGATCTCTGTCGTCCTGTTGCTCGCTTGCTTCCCTTTCGTTTCCGACTTCTCCGTGATGACTGTGCACGCTCCGACGGACTGTGGAATTTGTCTTTCCAGGAAATGGAGGAAGAGCTGAACAGGATGCGAGAGCACGTCTTCAAGGAGGTCGACAAGGACAAGGATGGGCTCATCTCGAAGAAAGAGTTCCTCGAGATGACAGAGGTCGATTCTTTTGACCGCGATGAGGGCTGGAAGGGTCTCGATGATGAGCAGGTGTACACCCAGGAAGAGCTCCAGCGCTTCATGCAGATGCGAGAGCACGAAATGCAGATGCAAATGGTGAGTCCTCTTTTCTTCGCGAAAGTTCTTGGTGCACTCATATCTTCCATCCGTGAACGGCTACCCAGAAAGCTGCAAGAAAGTGGTCTCATGATTGTTGAGAATGATGATTTCATATTATCTCCTCGAACAGGCTCAGGGCTACTATCCGGGCGCTCCTCCCAACCTTCAGTACCATCCGGGATACGCGCCACAAGGACCTCATCCAGGCTATCAGGGCGGCCACCAGGGCGCTTACCCACCTCAAGGCTATCCGCAGCAGGGAGGTCATCCGCAACAAGGCTATCCGCAGCAAGGAGGTCATCCGCAACAAGGCTATCCGCAGCAAGGAGGTCATCCGCAACAAGGCTACCCTCAGGGAGCTCATCCCCAGCAGGGATACCCTCAGGGAGCTCATCCCCAGCAGGGATACCCTCAGGGAGCTCATCCCCAGCAGGGATACCCTCAGGGAGCTAATCCCCCACAGGGGTACCCCCAACAAGGCTATCAAGCGCAAGGATACCAGGCCTACCCTAATGCTCCACCTCCCCCCGTGAATAATCAGCAGCCGCCCCAAATCAACCCGCAGATCCCAGCGAACGCTCAGCTGGCCCATCACCAACAACAGCAAGTGCACCAACAGCTGCCGGCTCCGAAAGTTGTTGCCGGACAACCCGCCGCCCCGCCTCAGCAGCAACAATACAAACAGCCTCCGACTCAGCAACAACAGCCCCGATACCAACAAGCCCAACAACCTTCCCAAGGTCAACAAGTACAACAGCCTGCGCAAGCTCAGGCGAAGGCTCCGGTAACTCAAGGCAACAATGCCCCCGTAGTCCAACAGCCGAGCCAACAAGCCCGTCAGTGACGCGGAGACGGACGATCAAAAAGGCGCACAGAACCGAAGGCGTAGAGAAGACTCCAGGTCTTCAGAGCTGATTTTTCGAGGCAGTCTCTTTTACCCGTTTCCCCTCGTCGACGCTTCTCTTAGCTCTTCCTGGAGACGTCTTCTCTCTCTTGGAAAAACCCGGGAAAGGAGAATAGACGCTCCTTTGAGAGCTTCGATGCAATCGAAGCTGAAATAGACAACTTGATCAATTCTCGATTTTGAGTGAGCCGACCGCGATGGTATCGATCAGCGTGAACAGAATTCATTCATTCCTTGAAGCTCCGGGGTTAATTTGTCTGTTGGAGATCCTAGCGAGAAGATTAATTATTATTGATGATTAACGCAGCGAATGAGGCATTTATTCACATCGCGTTTGAGATTCACTGCGAAAAAAGTTTTGACTGGGACTGGATTCACAGCCCCCGTGGATAACTGGACTTGGTGGCTTACGTCTGCTTAATCGCTCTTACCTCAGCTCAAGTCAACTGGTGATCGATTCCGAAGATGCGATGTGAAGAGTGTAGCCCTCGTGCTGTGTTGCCAATGTTTGATGGTGGTTGATGTGATATGCCCAGCTTGAACATGACTCCGAAAACCAATAAACAGAACCGGATTCTCAATTCGAAGACGATGGCGAGTCCTGGAGAGGAGCAGACCGAATAAAAATCCCCGTGTAAATAATGGTCCCTCGCTGTTCTTTTTCCGGAAAACTCTGACTAAGAGCGCAATCTACATGAATAAATACTCCAGGAGTCTATGTCGATTCCGAACGTTCTCGGAAGCGATGCAATCGCCTCGTTCTCGGAGTCGCATCGGAAGTCTGTCTATCCGCTTGATATATTCGGAACGATGACAAGAGACTCCTGTGCATTCAGGGTAAGAATGTATAACTTTATTAGCTCATTAGAATTATCCACAAGACTCGAGGAATAGCGGAGGCTCTCGCGTCGACCGAGAAATGACGCTTCACTCCCTTTAGCGTCGAATATCATTGTAGGTGGTCCGTTCGTATCGATGGGGCTTCACTTGCTCAGGACCTTGTCGAGCCAATCCACGACATTATTGGGGTCGACTTCTTCGTCATCATCGTAGTCCTCATCACAGTACTCGTCGGGTTCACCTTCTTTTTTCACCGCTAAGGCGGCCATCACCTGTGAGAAGAAAGCTTCTGAAATCTTTGCATTACATGACGAGATCATTCTCGAAAGAAAATCTGATCTGGAAATTGATTGCGGCGAGCCATGGCTCGTACCTGTTGCAAGTCGTCGTAGGCCGGGTCCGGTTTGATTTCGGCGTTGACAATGCTCTTCAACTTCTCTTCGAAAGCTCTCAGTCGCTGCGCTGCGCCGTGTTCGAACTCCGCGATCTGTTTCGGAAGCAGGAGATCTTTGGGCAGCGAAAGTCTTTCATGCAGCGGTACGCTTTCCAAAACTTCCGCGAGTCGATCCAGGTCGATTCCGGGGTCTGTGGGCTCTGTGTCTTCAGTCTTGTAGGCTTGAGCATCGTTCGACGCCAGTAGCAAGGTCTCGAGATCTTTGGCTTTGCTCGGACCCTCTTCACCGAGGTCCTGCATTTTGGTTTTCTTCGGTTGCGACGCGTTCGCCACGATGAATGGTTCTGTCAAGCCGGATATGAGCACAAATTCTTCGGCAGAAAACTTTCCCTCGGCCCCTCCCTCTGACGGCCTCTGTCTCCGGGGAGCTGCGGGCTCTCTTTCACTCGACACACTCTGTACGACTCGGAACTATTCGTGATCCTTCTGACACGCAGTACGAAGAGCTCCTGAGGTTCAGAAATGGTTCTGGGAAGCTCACCGCTCTGAGGAGTCTCCACCGAAAATGTACTATCCCGAAAGAAGACACTGAGTGGCACCGCAGGAACGTTATTCTTATTAGATTCTCCTCGGGAGCGCGCCACGGGAAGCGACGTGATACGTGATATCACCGAATACCAATCGGATTTTAATCAGATCGCAGACCAGCTCTACCCCAAAGTCTGATGTCGATGATAGCGATGATCTCTGCTGAAAAGGAGCGAAGAACCCAAACGAAGCCTTCTACGGATTTGCGTTGGGCTCGATTTCCACGATTAAGGGGGGACGGGCTGCGCTCCTCGATGGGAAGTGCGGGGCGTCATGCGATCGATCTGGAGGGATGATGTTTTCTTCCTTTGGGATTATGCTACCCTCCTACCTAACTCCGATCCCATCCAGATAGACTGGCGATACTTCATCCTTCAATATTTCGCTCCTGGAGCCCAATATCCGTTTTATCTGGGGTCATGAGAATCTCGAGAAGCCTTGTGGGATAGAGATTTCCCTTGAGCGACCCCTGCGTCATGAATAGCTTGAATTCTCTCACCCGACGACTTGATATTTCTTTCTCTTGACAGGGGGCTGCATCTCACACTTGTACCATCCTGACATCGGAATGCTTCAGGAGGCGACCATATTCTGCTGTCGCTTCGCTCACGATTCGTCCGATCAAGGCTTCTGAAGGCATATCACGTGAAGGTCTTGGGACGCTCCCAGGAGATCCACCGGTACTGGATTCGGAAAATTGAGACCATCTTCGGGTCATCAAATAGAACGACGCATCCAGATCGATCACATGACGCCCCGCACTTCCCATCAAGGAGCGCAGCCCGTTCCCCTTTAATCTCAAACTCCCTTGGACAAGCGAGACGTCGATCCTCCGTGTACTCTATGCCCTATCATCCGACCCGACAAAAAACTTCGCGGTGATCAACCTTCTTGAATTCTCCCATATAGGCGCCTTGAAGTTTCTTCTCTCTCCCCCAGCTGCAGCAGCGCGAAAACACAACAACAAGAGCATATGATGATCCTCTGGAGAGAGGGAGCGTACCGCTGTTGAGCTAACGATACCGTCGCGGTTGTTATAAACGCCGGAGCCGCTGCTGCTCCCCCTGCGACACTCATTCATGAGATTTCCGAGTTCTGTCGAGACTCGATGGGATGGAGGATGGCTCCTCGTTCGGATAGACGTCTCTGGCTCGAGCGGAGATAATATGATCTGAGGTCCACAGTGATCACTTCCTCCCGAATGGCTCGATTGCACGCGCAAACCCAAATCGGATCGTGGGCTATTTTTCTAACTCTGTGTGTCGGGAGGGCCATCCGGAACCGGAAGCTCCATGTGATCATAGCCTGTTCGCTCCTCGTTCTTCTATGGACGGAGGCACGTCACCGTGTATTGATTGACGGTCCTCATACGCTGTGCGTAGCAGTGTTTTCGGCGCCGACAGAGGCTTCAGCTGCTTGTCGACAGACCGCGCGCGAAACTTGGCTGTCGTTGGATGACGGGGTGCGACACTATTTCTTCATCGGCGACCAAAATCTTCCCCCTCAAGTCTCCGAAGCGCTCTCGAACGAGAACAGAAACGGTTAGTATGCCAAAGAGTTCAGGTCCGCACCCATAGGAATTCACTCGGGACGGATGATCAGACCTAGAATCTCCGACGGGATCAATTTCTATAGCAGGTGATGTAGTACTCTTGCCCTTCGTGGACTCCTATAGGAACCTCACGTTGAAACTCCTGCACAGTATCAAGTACCTGGTTGAAAAATGTGATTGCAAATATATTCTGAAGGTGAGTGTCGCCGTCGTGGACGTTCGAATGGGCGGAGCGAAAATAATTTCGATGACTGACCAAGCGATGGGTATGGAAGCGATGGTTGTAACGTGGGAAATGGAAAATGCAGAGCATCTTCTGATTCCAGGCCGACGACGACACTTTCGCACGAGTCGATCTCATAGTTTCAGAGTTGGAAGTCGTCAAAGTCGAACAGCGCTTGTATTGGGGATACTTCACCGGAAGAGCCCCCATATTCCGTCGGGGAACGTGAGTTGACCGAGGGAGTCCATTCGAGGAACAATATCGTTCATCTATGTATTGTGGAATCAGGCACAAGCTGATCATTATTTTCCCGGATTCGGATTTCAGGTGGGCGGAAACGGATTGGTTCCTTTGTGATAGATATTTACCGTACGCCCGAGGGGGTGGCTACATTTTCTCGCATCGAGTGGCCAAATACATCGCTGACAACTCTCCGATCCTCCAACGGTGAGTGCCGAGAAGGGAAAGCATGCTGACTATCGAGGGAATATCCGACGTTCATTACTCTGCCTTGGCATGACATTGCTGCCACATTCTCCGTCAGATATCGAAGCGAAGACGTCTCCTTTGGTGTCTGGACCGCGGGACTCCAACTGCATCGAGTACACGATCCTCGATTCGATACAGAATACACATCTAGGTAAGTGCATTAGGAGGAGGGCTATTTGATTCCGCACATATCCTGGAATACGGAGCGGGTAAGCTCAACCAAGCCGTGAAAGGGCGAGATCCATCTTGCAAGGAACCGTTTTTCTTCAGGGGATGCCTGAACTCGTATCTGGTCACACACAAGCAGAGTTCAAGTCAGATGTATGAGAAGATGAAGAACATCCGGACCAAGGGACGACTCTGTCCAAAGGGCGAGGAAGGCGAGACTCGGGAATCTTACTCTTACAATTGGACCGTTCTTCCGTCTCAATGTTGCAAACCTACTTAAGCTCTCCTCGGGCCACGAAGCTCCGACCTTTGATCACGAATGTCCCTGCGCGGAATCCAAACGAGCTCAATGCGGATTTTGTGGATCGGGCCTTGAGCTCCAGATCTCATCGAGTGGAGCATACATTGAGTGGAAACGAAGAGGGGTCAAAATTTCCAATAAAGTGCCTGCAGAACGAGAGCGACGTTAGACTTCTCATGGGAGCAGGGTATACAAGGAACACAGTTCCGTACGGAAATCGGATCTCATCAGTTCCTTGTGGAATGATCTTGCATGGAATGGATCTCCTGTGTGATATTTGACCTTTTCCACGGAATATTCGAAGAGGTTCATCGCAGTTAACCGAGGAATCATGCCGATCCTCGAGCATGCTCGCAAAAGCTCCATTTTAGTTAGACTAAACACAGAAATATTCGCGAGGATTTATCACGACTCGATAGGAGATATACTGACTGAGGGTATTACCTCGGGATTCGCGAAGAAACTGGAATTCCCTGCAGGTCACAGTTGCTCCTGGTCGGGAATTCTCATATACGTTCTTGGAGCCTACGACCGCACACCTCTCCGATCTCAACTCATCCGGGCCGTCGAATTCGATCGATCAGAGGCCGACGTTCAGAGGACAAGAACCTCTAAATCTGTTAGATCCCCCCTCTCTCACAGCCTCGATATCGGCCCTTCAGCATCGCTCCAGTCGTCGAGCCCCAGTCGTCTCGGTTTTTTGAGGAGACCAAGAGAGACGGCATACCACTGGTTAGGACACCCCTCGAGTCCTTGAGATTAACGAGAATCGCCCATCCCTGGAGTCAGAAAAGTCCTGCGCTTATTCCGACGTCGAAAAGTCCCGAGGATTTTATTTTATACTCGGCAATTCCTCATATATATATCAATTCTCCATTCCCCTTTTCCTCTCGGCTTCCCGCCACAGATCATCGTCATCATCATTCGAACGTTTCCGGGCTCACGAGCTCATTCGTCGGGAAACTTCGACTTGCTCCATTCGAGGGAATTCGCTCGTGGAGTCCACTGGGACGGAACATACACAAGCGCTTTTTCAGTCACGGAAATACTGATCTTTTGCCCGAATCCTGCCATAAAAACTTCGATATGAGATATTCGCCTTCTGGAGAGGATGGCTCGGAAGAGAGACAGGGAGGAGGAAAGGATTTACTGTACCGCGCTTACCGGCTGATCGTGAGTCCCTGTGGTCTGTGGAGGAGTCAAATGACAGCTGATTTGAGTTTTCGATCTCTGTCCCATTGTATTCGGAGAGCTCATGGCGTTTAGACTCTTCGCAACCCCGAGGAGGTACCTTTCCGCTAAATTCGTCAAACCATCATGGATACGATACGGCGCTGCCAAACACGGTGATTTCACTCAGAGAGAGCCTCAGCTCGGCAACCAATATCTTGAGGATGGACCGCTTCTGCGAGCTCTCCGAAGGAGTGTCCCTCGTGAAGTTTTGAGTGAAATTGAGCCAGACCTGACCCTATTCGGGGAGAGGGTTCCTGTCGAGATTGAAGCATTGGGTCGTGAATGCGAGAAGTTCCCTCCGAAACTCACCCATCAGAACGCTTGGGGTGAGCGCATTCAGGAGCTTTGGACCTGCGAAGCTTGGAAGGAACAGAGAATCATCGCTGCCGAGGAAGGTTTGGTCGCAACAGCCTACGAGCGGAAGCATGGCGAGTGGTCTCGCCTTCATCAACTGGTCAAACTGTACTTGTACGCCCCATCCGCTGGACTCTACACATGTCCCCTGGCAATGACCGACGGAGCATCGTCAACAATCGAAGCTCTGAAACTTGCCGAGAACTTCCCACAAATGAAGCACGCCTTCGAGCGTTTGACGTCAAGACACCCCGACAAGTTCTGGACTTCAGGACAGTGGATGACGGAACGTCGCGGAGGTTCGGACGTGGCGAACGGGACGGATACCATTGCGGTACGAGATCCTTCCTTGCCCGAAAAACATTACCGATTGTACGGATACAAATGGTTCAGTTCGGCGACCGATGCAGACATGTCTCTGACGTTGGCCCGCGTGGCGACGGCCGACGGAAAGGTCGATGAAGGCAACAAAGGTCTTAGCCTCTTTTTCCTTAAAGTTCGAGACGAGAACGACCGGCTCAACAACATTCACATGGTCCGATTGAAGGAAAAGTTGGGCACCCGTCAATTGCCCACGGCCGAACTCCTCCTCGACGGAGTGGAGGCGATCCAGCTCACGGAACCGGGACGAGGAATTTCGGGAATCTCGAATATGTTGAACATCACTCGCGTTTATAATTCTGTCTGTTCCGTTGCGCCGATGCGTCGACTGCTGAATTTGGCGAGAGATTACGCCGAAAATCGAGAGGTTTTCGGAGCGAGGATCATGGATCATCCTCTGCATGTTCACACTCTTTCCGAAATGGAGGTCGAGCACAGAGGTTGCGTTCTGCTTATGGTCCGCGCGGGCGAATGGCTCGGGAAGCGGGAATGCGGAACCGCTACCGATGAGGAACAGCTGCTGCTGAGACTACTCATACCCGTGATGAAGTTGTACACAGCGAAACAAGGTGTTTCTGTGAGCTCGGAGCTCCTCGAAGCTTTCGGTGGACAAGGATACATGGAAGATTCGGGACTCCCCTGTTTCCTCAGGGACGCACAAGTTCTACCGATATGGGAGGGGACTACGAATATCCTGTCGCTGGACGTTCTCCGAGCACTGCACAAGAGTCAAGGAGAGGCCTTGCGAGCCTTCGCTCACAGTGTTGCAGAGAGTCTCAGCGGGGCGGAGCTCCATTCGGACGAGAACTTGAGGAAGAGTGCTCTGACTGTTCAGAAAGCGGTCGAGGACATAGTTGATTTCGCGACAAACAACCAGGATATTATTCAGCTCGCGGCACGTGACCTCGCCTACTCGATCGCCCGCACGTACATCGGAGGACTTCTCGTGCAACAAGCTTGCTCTCGAGAAACTCTCCCTCATCAGGTGTGGGCTGCGTCCCGTTGGTGCCTCGGCCGAGATCTCTGCCCGGTGCGGACGTCTCAAGAAAACGGCTTCTATTCGATCGAAAGCTATCAGAGCTCTCAGAAGATGTTGCAACCTGCAGTTAATACTTGAGGAAACTTTCCGGCCGCTCTCGGACTGCTTTTCGGAGAGGACACGTGGGTGAGGTGTCCGAGCGATTCGCGAGCCCCAGATTCGGACTCCCAACACTTCGTTGAGAAGATTGACGATGCGTATGAAGATGAACTCCAGTCTTTTTCGCGAAGGATTAGGCGCTTTTACCAGATCAATATGTGCTGTCAGTCACCCCTGGTCAGAACACGAGGCGGTAGGCTTCCAAGAACTCCGACGTCAGAGTAGTGAACAACTCGCCGGGTATTTCATGACGCCGAAATTGTTTTCCTTATCTCGTTTCCTGACGCTTCCTGATCCAGTGGGCCCAGAGGAACTCTAATGTCCCCGCACCAAAAACTTGTCAGTACCTTACGTCACGATTGCTTGCACGACTCCTAGGAGGCACCTGTGTATTATAAATATCACTCCGACTTCTCGGGAAATATTGGCTGATCGATTCACCGGAATGCTTCGACCAGATTTTTTTTTCTCATTGCATTCCCCACTCCTCTCAGGCGATGAGATCGCCCCTAAAATGGAAGTGGTACGACCCTGTAGTATTGTAGAATCACATGGATCAATGAAACCTCGAATCATAATTCGTGCTATAAGCCGCGAGTCTCCTCGCGTTCTACAATCCGATTATACACATCATACATGATGAATTGACGTATCATTTCGGGTGCAGAAATCGCGGGTCACGAGTCCGACTTCTCGTGTGCGGCTGACTCCACATCCGTAATGAGAAGACACCGTACGATATTTCGTGTCTCCTGCGTGCAAGCAGGTCAGCGATGCATCCATTTCCATTATTCGCCGCAGCTACGAATGAGTTCGGAGAACCTCATGGCGCCAAAGACTCTTCCAGCTCGTGATCACTTCTTTGCCATCCCATGATTTCGCCGCGGGAGCGAGAAACCGAGCTTCGAAAATGTGAGAGACCGCCCGATCCCGCCGAGACCTCCAGAAAAGATCATCGACATCATTGTATCCACTCTCGCTGCTGTCAACAGATTCCATTTCTGGACATTCCTCTGTGCGCAAAAACTCCGAAGAGATTAGCTTAATCGCTACCAAGCGTGTGAGCTCAGAAGACTTCGCCGCATAATCTTCCGAGGGAATTACGAAATTAGTGCGTAGTGCACTCTCACACTCTCCAGCAGAGCAGAAAGGCTGGCGACGGCGGCGGCAGCAGCAGCAGCACGCAGGCAGACACCCATACCACACACTCCCACAGCAGCAGCAGCAGCAGCAGCAGCAGCGGAGTGCATACCAACGGTCTGAACTCGGTTGGAGTCCAAATAGAGTGTCCTGCTAGATCAGGACTAGACGGTCGGCTCGCGAACGTCCGTGTGGCCGGCGAGCAGGCACGATTCCCGTAGCAGTTGCATCGCTTCGACCCTTAGCTAGCAGAGAGAAGACTGACGCGACTACGGTAGTGAGGACTCGACGGACTTCTGACGACCACTGGTACGCACCGATGGACTCAAGCGATCACAAGCGATCCGATCGGCTCCTTGAGTGACTCTAAGGCCCTTCGTCGAACCATCTGGATATCGGTTCAGGCTCCCGACCCTGGCTCTCCATCCGCTTCTCAACGGATTGACTTTTCCGCTGATCATCATCCGGGCGAACATCGTCGACGAAAACTCCTCCAAGTGGGCTGTTGCTGCTGCTACTGCTACAAATGTATCGGATGTCGGTCTTGTTGTCTTCTTTTTCCGCGGATAGCTCCAGTTGTCGTTGTTGAGCCCCGCAGCATCGCGTAGTGAGCCGCTCGGGAAGAAGTATTCCCGCTGCGAGCAATAGCAGAAACACTGGCGGTGGCGGCGGTCGCAGCAAATCCCGCAGCAGCCCTGCAACAACAGACTTGTTGGAGTGAGCCGGACATCTCGGTGCTTGGAGTGCACCAACAGCGGAGAGACTCGAACTGAGAGTGTACGGAAGTCGACGTCTGACTGGGATCTCATGGAATGGTGTGATAGACTTTGAATTCGGAGATTTTTCCTCGAACTATCGGGCAGTTCTTTGCTGGTGTGTGCGTGAGTGACCGATAGACCGACTGATCGAGTGGGCGGGTGCGTGCCGTCCTGGATTTGTGGCAACTATCCCGATCGCTTGCCCCCCACCGCCGAGGTGCCCCCAAGACGCATTTTGTATTCGTGGGAAAAGCTCACAACGACCAGCGGGAATTAGTTCCTCATCTACCGTATTCTGTGAAGCGAATCCGAAGTTCCCCCTCTGCGGGAAAACAAGCCACTATTGGATGAGATCGACGCCCGGTGAGAAATATCTCCGTTGCAGAACATTCGACTACAGTTCACGCAGTTTCGAGAAACTCTGACCGCTGCTTGTGGATCTAGAGCCTGCAGTGCAATCCGAAATGCTTCAGCAGGAGAACGGCGGATCGTCGGTGCTCGAGGAGCAGCACCGGGGAGCTAAGGTGAGTCGATTGCGGAGCTTGCTCCACACATCTAAATATGTATATTTGCATTTTTAAATATCCTTCCAATCACGAACCGCCTTACGATTCGTCCGGATACGATTATACGCGGTGGGCATTAGCTTTAAATCGTTGTCCTCCCCCCCATCGATTTTCTGTTTCCTTACTCGGAGGAGCTGTTTCCTGCCGCAAGACGGACTGCGGTCTGCGTCAAGCGATACGGTGTGATGGAACGAGCGCGCTCAAGTTCGTGTTCCTCTTTTTTAACCCCGAGGGAAAATTGGTACTTTCCCCGATAGCTCTAAAACGTTCTAACGGACATGCTCTTGTATCCGAGACGAGAAAGGAATGACTTCTCGAGTTTCAAATAGAGCTTCGGACGACAACGACGGCGAAAGCGGCGGCATCGACTGACTGTGTGTGTGTGTGTATCTGGTCGAGTGCCTTGTAAGGCTTTGCTTTCTTGGCAGTTGCTTGTTGTGGCGGCTGACGCCGTGGCCGGGTTAAGACGCCCTCGCTTCCACAATTCTAGTCACAGCTAGCGCACCGCGTGGCCAGCCGATGGGTCCAAAAATTAGCGATGTTTGACGAATCGTTTGACTCGAGACAAAGCTTATTCGCCCGAACGAACTCGTCCGACTACGTTTCTTGTGTCGCTGGTCGCCCATGAGTAGTCTAGCCTCCCTCCGAGCTGATGTATCCGTCTGCCGTCTTGGATAATCAGATCCTTCGCTAATTATCCGGGAGCCATCGAACCTATCGTTCGTCTGATGTCAGGCAGAATGTGTGCTCGTCAGCGTCGCATCCCGATGCAACGGATAGGAGCCGAACGCTTTCGGCTAATTACAATTAGAAGTCGATACACCCACTCGTCCGTCCATCCATCCATCCATCCATCCGATGGCGTACCGCTCAACCGAATTAAGCTTCAACAGGGTTCACTCGGGTTTCTTAGAGTCAGGGCAGAATAGGGGAGCCCCTAGTCGCTTGAACGACATATACACACAAACATATAGTCATTCATTCACATTTTGTTGGGGAGACACAAAGACTCCCTGATACCTCCGAGAGATCCATTTTGAGCGAGAATGACATATCCGCTCGCCTTTCAGAAATCGCTCTCTATTTGGAAACTCCCCAGGTCCGCTATCCCGAGCTGGAGCGCCGAAGCGTCTGGCAGACCTGGACGAAATGTGAGCAGGAACGGTGACCCTCACATTCGCCAGTAGTTAGATTAATCGATCGATCGAGTCACCCATTCGTCGGACGCTGTGCATGCGATCCCGGCAAGGGTTTAATGCAGAGCTCGTTTTCTTATTATGAGCTGATAGCTGCAATACCTGGGTGCTCTCGTGAGTCGCTGCCTTTGCCGGAATCGGAAGGACGGGGATCTGACACGGAGAACATCATAGTATCGAGTTCCGCTTGGACTATATATCGCGTTCTTCGTGGAAGTCATCATTCCCATTGACTCAATCATCTGAATAATCCTCCCCTCGATATTCCTCATCGGAAATAGATTCCCGACTCGGTAAAGATCGATTTCCGATCGGATGAGGCTTTCATGAGCACTGTCGCTCATTCGCCCTCATCTTCTAAACCTTATAAGAGATTGAATCCGGCAAGCGACAAGTGTCCTCCGGGGAGCCCGCACTGTCCGCGTATGCGCAACGCGGACCTTCCCGAAGTTTGTTTAGCATCTTATTATCCCCTTTCTCCTCTTATTAATTAAATTTCCATTGGAACAGCCAGCACTCTTCTCATATGTAGGCAAATGCTAGGGAGCCTCCTCGCGACAAAGGACTCGCGATCGCCGGTCCTCCCTCGACTCTTTGTTTGTTCGTGCCAGGATTCTTGTCCCGAGAGTGGAGCTACTGATGAGACTCCACGTCCGTCCGTTTACCTCTTGGGTTGACCGCAAATGTATTCGCCTTCGGATGTGCATTCCCCTCGTCGTAATGTCAGAAATCACGTACTCTTCCGCCTAGGATCGCTAATCTCCGACGAGACTCCAGGGACGCACCACCTCGGTGTTTTTTCCGGGGGAGGGAGGAAACAATGGATTTCGGACATTGCAGTGAGATAGATCCAGACCGTTCTCCTCGCTCCTCCCCGGCTTCTTTCGGTCCCCCCGACGGTCGGCCATCCATTGATTGAGTGATTGAACGACTGACAGCTAGATGACCGTTAGCTTTGAGAGCTCAGCGGCGTAGTTTTCGATGGAACAGCGTTTCGAGCAGCGCGAACGGTCGTGGCGGTGGGAGCTCGGCAGCAAGAGTCGATGTTTTGTTGCCTTTCTGCGCGCTGCTCCCACCACATGCCGTCTGTCTCGCCGGCTATGCGGTGCCGCCGCCGCCGCCGTTGTCGGATGGACGTCAACTATGGCCAGACCGTCTTACCATTGAGCTTGGCAGCGCTGTATATCGGACAACGCATGCGCCGGCGGAGCCTGGTAAGCAAGGAGCTGCAAAAAGTCAAGGGGACCGGACAGAGCCGCTACGAAGGGAGCGGTGCGGTCACTCGTAACGCCAGAGGAAGCTCGTTCGTGTTCCCGTCGTGGTTACCGTTGATGAAGGTCGGCTGAGCTTGAATTCAACTCTGCTCGGTCCGTCCTCCTCGTCGTCGCTGTTCTCCTGTCCAACAGCAGAAAACAAGTCGAGTCAGACCCGTGGACTAGAGGGCATCGGCATTGCTGCCGTCATCTCTGAAATCAGCTGGCCCACAACTTGGTCGCGGCTCCTCTGGTCGACTGTTGCTGCTTTCGACGATAAATCCATGACCGTTATCATTATCGTCGTGATCATAGATAACCTGTTCGGCAACCTTGTGCCGATGTGAGTGAGCCACAATTTTCCTTGATGGTGTATTTCCGAACTGACTAAGCTTGTTGCCACTGTAAGTGCCGCTGCCGTGCGGACGCCGCTGCTGCTGTCGTCGTCGTTGCCACCACCATCATCAGCCGCACTTCCCTCGTCGTCACTCACAACTGATGACCAGAAACCAAAGTCGATATCACAACTACGCGAAGCCAGTTTCGCCGCGCTGGTCTTTGATCATGTGAAGCTGCTTATATCGTTGGACCTGGACTCTAGTTGTTGCTGCGGTTTCGTTCGTCGCTGGTGCTTCCTAGGATTTTGTGTCGTGGTGATCGTCATCGTCGTTCAATGTATCATCATCATCGTCGTCGATGCCTCCGATAAGCTCGACGTTGGCGGAGATAAGCTCGGACGTTCTCTCCGGCACCAAGATTCTTAATAGTCGTCATGTACATGCCCAGAGTGTGATCTTGCGTTTCCTTGTGGTAGTGATAGAATTCTGGGCGTACCTCCGTCAGTCTGAGATGTCATCTTTCTCGACTCGGTTTGTAGACTTTCGAGTTTCGATTTTGTGTTACACTCCATAGCTGTGTGGTATGGAGCACGGGGACGCGAGAAAAACAGGGGATCGCTTTAGTCTGCTAGATGGAGTCACGTCTCCTTCCTCGATGGATGAGCTGACTTTTTAAGGGCGAGTGATAGAGTGAGTGAGTGAGTGACAGAAAGACAGAGTGAGTGAGTTAGTGAGTGATAGGAAGACAGATTGAGTGGATGACAGACGGAGAAAGTGACAGATTGTGTAAGTGTATGATGGGTGCGGAGCGTGAGATTTTCATTCTCTGCCGAATTCATTCAGAAGCGGTAGCGGCGGACGGATGCGGCTTCGTTGTCGGAAATACAACGACGCCCCCAGCTATTTTGTCGGACACTATCATCAGCAGAAATAGCGTCGGAGTCTGCGGTATGATCTAGTTTGGTCAGCGGCGACGAATTCCGTCTCGACCGGTGCCGGGGTCGACGCGACAAGAATATCTGTTCTGTTATCTGTGCTTGTCCGACGACTCAGCTTGTCCCACATCAGTTCGTAAGCAGGGAATAATCGTATGATGTCGCTGGCGGGACATACTGAGTACTGAGCCCGAGTATGCTACCTAGATGGCTTCGACTGGATGTGAGGAGGCCTCCAGGTCATTCCGGAAACAGCATGCCCTGAGAAGAGCTCCGGCTCATGCGAGTCTCTCCGTTGACAACGATTGTCGAGTAGGAGAGTCTCGTGTCGAGTCATCGCACTCGGACGATTTTTTCCGCACCTAATTGGTCGCGGATGGGGTCGGAATGATATCTCGTCTCATCCGATGCCTCCCAGAAAACCACCGCGTACCGATGTTTCTGGGCTAGGGAAAGTCGATAGAAAGCTGAAGATTTGTTCGGACGGCGGGGTCGAGATACGAAGGCGGAATCGTTCTCCGAGGGAACCGCCGAAACCCTAACGTCACTGTCCCCCATATACATATTTATGTATGTACGACCCATCCTGTTGATGATTTGAGTGAACGGAGTCTAAAGGGGTGTCTCTTCGTCTTGCAGAGTAAACTAGAGTGCGGGAAGGGGTCTGGTGGCTCCGACCAAAAAGACAACCAAAGCTCAGAAAGCTTTCTCGAGAGACGTTCTCCTGGTCTAGCTTCTAGGGAAAACGAGACCACGGAAGAGAACGACGCATATGAAGAAACCAAAGGCCTAGATTTGACGATTTTCGAGGCGCTGCTGATTGATATTGCGAACTTTGACAAGGTTTGATCAATGATTCCCGTATTCTCATATTCTAATCGACCCTCTCGTCGTCTACACCTGTACTAAGAATGAGATACGTCGACAGAAAACTTCCGAGAAGAGCGCTCTCGCCAAGAAACTACTGGACGGAACCAAGTCTAGCGATAACAACGACAACAGGATCAACAACAACAGCAACGGCACGGCCAACAACAACAGTTTGAACGGGACCAGCGATCTCCTTCTCAGTTGCGAAGACATCAAAACCTCGAGCTTGAATAACAACATCAACAACGTCTGTAGCAGTAGCAACAATAGCAGCGGCGGCGGCGACAGCCCGAGCAACAGCAGTAGCAGCAACAATAAAAATAATCCAACAAGTGGCAACAGAAGCACCACCACCACCCTCAACACCTCAGAAAGCCAAGTATCAGAGCGGAGCGGAGGAACAGGCTGCGACGACTTAATGCGTGGTATGGGATCTGTCACCGGTCGGACGATGGGCGCCTCTGAGAGTCGCTCAGATCATCGATCACCAGACGACGATGACACATCTTTCAATCACCCTGCCCCCGTGGTGAGTCTCTTGCTCGCTATGATATATGTCTACGATTAAGATATATGCATATGCATACATATATATATTCATAAACATAAACATAGATATAAATACCTATGATATACGTGCCTTCAGCAAGCGTAAAATTCGACAAATGACCCTTCTCGATAGGATTTGGCTGACGATATCAATCAGATCTCGGTTCTATTCGGATTCCAGATCTTCACGGGAAGAATGGAAGAAATCCGGACCAGTATGGGCACCGGCGAGAATCCGAAACGGAAGAAAAAGGACACATGCTATAAGACTTATCAAGCCGACTCCGTCGACGGCCATTTTGGTGATAAGCCTGTAAAGGAAATTCTGCATATTATCGATCCACCTGAAGACCTCCAGAACAAACTCAAAGAACGAGAACGAGGGAAAGGTGAGGAGCGTGATACTTCAAGGACTCATGTGAGATCGATGTTGTGAATTTGTCGAGGGCAAGATTCCCCGAAAATTCCTCAGAAAGAGAATGTCCAGAAATATTTGGTAAAGGGGTTCCGGATCCGGAAATTTCGGGAGCGCTCTATCTGACCTCCAGTTATCGCTTCAGGACCTTCGAGAGTGAAGAACCATGTCAAAACCAAAGAAAACGCGCCGGTATCTAGCGTGAACTCTCCGTGCTCAGACGGAGAGAGCACCTCCTCGCCCCCCGCAACCTCTCCCGAACGAACTAAGAGACCGCTGTCCCCGCAATCTGAGAGAGGGGGTTCACCGGTCGGCTTGGCTGAAGACTGCGAAGTCCTTTGGCTGAGCGACCCTGATCGCGCCAAGCCGGAAGACTGGGAAAAGGTTCGTCGGGGTCGAAGACAAAAGAAAACCCCGCCTGCTCCTTTCGTGGCTCCTGAGAGACGGGACCACAAGGAGCGGTGTGCTCCGTTCGGCCAAAACCCGCACCACCATAACAACAATCATCATCAGCAACTTCAGCAGCAGCAACATAAACAAACCCAGACGAGTCAAGTGCAGCAACCCAACGTCCCGCAATCATCGACGAGGTACGCTGCAGCTGCTCATTCGACGTCCGCTACAGCTGCCGTGCAAACCAGTTCCACGAGTCCGTCGTCTGCAGCCTCGACATCGAAAAAAGCATCGCCACCGATCTCGAGAATCGCGAACAATTCTGATGATGACTTCCCTCCGATCGGTCCACCCCCATCGCATGGAACGAGACCTCTCGTCCAAAGTCAGAAACCCAAAACCATCACGACAGGCCCATGGGGCTCGGGTCGAATGGCGGATGTTCTACAGGGTAAGAAAGTTCCTCCACCGCAGCAGCAGTCCGCCCCACAGCAGCCAAGGGAGCAAAGGCCGCCGACCCCGCAACAGCAGTTATCGCCAAAGCAACAACGCCTACAACAACAACAACAATCACCACCGAAACAACAGCAACAGCAGGCCCTTAATCTCCAAGCAACGACTTCTGTGAAGAGCGATGCGAAGTCCACGCCACCCGTGAACGCGGTGAACAGGGGTGGCTCCACGAAAACGATTAGACCTGGAATCGGTGTGGTGCCCGGTCCCACAGGACCCATCTTACCGCCGGGGGCTGACGGTGACTACGGCGACGAACTCAGAGAAGAAGAGGGGCTCTCATTTGGGTGAGTGGTCGATTTTAGTCCTTGACGGTGCCGGCTTCTCGATAGAGTCGAGAATCATAGTAGTATTACGGAAAACTCGAGACTGTCTCTCATCGTGCCGGTCCTCGATGGCATTAAAGTAGAATCCTGCTGATTGAGCTTCCGCCGGCAGGAACTTTGACGTGGAAACCATCCGCTCGATAAAGGCCAGTGCGAGAATCCGCGTTGCCTCGAGACGTGACGAGGAGGAATTGAAGAGTTGCTTCAACTACGGTCAGTGCGTGAAACTCCTCAATGATCACTGGCTGGAAGTCCACAGAACTGTGCAAGGTTGGTCAAGACGAAGTCGTATTCCTAGGTAATCGTATTCTAGCGTCGTGAGGCCGATGAATAATCGTGCTTGATGCTCATTGAAACTCTTCCAGATCCGCAAATGATTCCGGCTCGCTCCATTGAAGCCGGTGGAATCCGGAAACAGTGATGAAGATTGTTCTACTGGGGAGATCGGTCTTCTCTCCGACGAGGCATTCAACAGCTGGTTGCTCGCTGAGACGGGGGAACTCGAAACGACACATGGAGGGGTACCATCGCGGTAGGTTTGGGGTCGGATGCGGTATCCGATGATCGGTGACCTCGAGATTGCGCCGGAGGAAATCAAGAGATTCAACTCAGAAACGAACAATGCGTCGTCCCGAGGGACGCTCCATGTATTGATACCGCCTCGAGAGTCTAGCAGTCCAAGCAGGACGCACAACGTTAGCAGGAAGGGAACGGACGGAGGATAGTTCAGTGAAGCACGGAGTCGAGTCTCTTCGCTCAGAACTTGGGTGTCGAGTGTATGTGCCGGCAGGTGTAGAGCAAGAAGCGAGTCAATCGATCGCCGAGCGAGCGACCCGGTACCGCGGCGCCGCGAGAGAAGCATGACTCAGCGATTCGGCGACTTGGCATGTCCGCATCGAGTGTCCAAGGGAAGCAGAGCGAGGACGCCGCAGGGGGAATGAAGAGGAAAGATATTTAATCAGAATCGTCGATTGCTCCGACCTGTCCTGCGACAACATGAACCTTGTATCTAGTAATTGTGCTAAGGTGATTTCTATTTCGATCCTTCCGTTCCCTCTCCAGGGGGATATGCTATCATCACGACTTGAGAATGATAAAGATAATTATTATGTTACTTTCAAGTGCAGAAGTTGAAAGCTTCACTTGTTTCCGAGTTTTTGTTACTTTATATTCCAATCGATGCGTTCTCCGAGGATCGGAGTGTCGACCGGTAACCAGTCCGGAATGTGCGCTTGCTGCTCCCGTCGAAGATCAGCATTAGAATGGTCGAGTCCCGACTCGTATGAAACTGTCAACAGTCTTCGATTTGAGGGACCATAAGCACGAGGTTGATACGCAGTGAGAGCTGGATTGGTTTTCGCTTCGCAGGAAATTCCCCTGCGCGCTGACTGCGATGCATGCTCTCGACTCCGGGGAGCATGCTTGGCGGTAATCGTCCGACTTGCCATCGGGTTGCGACGAACGCTCGTGAGTTTTGGATCCGAGAATTCGCTTTCGATGGACTCGTCTAGGCGAGCGCACGAGTCGTCCACCAATCGACTGCGTCGAGTGTGATTTGTATGTTACTGTGGGAAACGAAAATGAATCGCGTGTCGAGTTGTAAACTCTTGTTTTCTGAGCGGAGCGCTGACTGAGCTCCGCTGTATATAAAGGGGAAGAGGCAGTTATCTAACGAGCTGCGGATCGGATTAAGGGTAATGTTACGATGTATGAGCGGGAGAGAATGAATGTGTTGGAGAGGAACGAAAAAGCCTATTATCAAGGAATCGGCATAGATACAATTACCAAGTGCCGAAGGAGAGTGAGATAAAGACGTTGGAGACGTCAATGACCCCGCGAGCTCGATCGACCGAGGCCCATCGTCGCGTCTCGCGCGTCGCGAGGCTCTCCCGATTAGAACTAGGTCATTTTTGAGGCTGCTGAAAACATAGGGCGGAGCTCTCCCCGGCCGAGCCTTTCTGAACGAAGCTATCGCAGAAATCTCGTTCGGATGTGATATCTGATTGCTCTTCCGCGGGGATTCGATCAAACGTCGTGACGACTGCTAGGAAGGCGTGCTCGATCCCATATTCGGTATCGTCTCATTCCGAAGCAATATTGTTTGCGGGATTCCTTTTTTCGGATCGACGAGACTCGGCCGGGCGCATTGTTTCCTATGCTTTGAGCTTGATCAAGTTCCCCGAAGTATTAGAATCGGAAAATCTCTCGAATACGTCTCGCTGAACTCTCGGCAGGCCCCGGGGTCGATGTCGATCCACAAATTATTCACTCAGGCGGACCTCCTTCCGAATCGGTTGACCCCTCGAGTTGGCAGATGAGCTAGATGTCGAAGCCTTGACTTGAAGGATACGATACGATCATCAACGAGGCCTTCTCATTCTCCGATAGTGGTGAAGTCAGGCCCCCTCTAGCCTTTGGGATCGCTCCCGAAAACTCGAGATGGTTCATCATTGAACGGCCCACGGGCTGAAACTCTGACAAGAGAGGTTTCTGCTTTTCGGAGGACCGGGCGGATTCTCCGCTCATGAGCGGAATTCCACGATCGGAGGAATGTCGAGTTGGGGACACTCTACTGTGATGGAGGAGTAACTAGGAATCGTATTCCATCCTGGGACTCCGAGAAGAGGCGGTTGAGAGCGTTCCGGATTTCGACCCGCTGGAGAAGCCCAGGATCGTCTTACTCCCTTCCCGTGCTTTTGCTTTGAGATCGGAGTGAATGGTTGTGATTCGAACTACAGGCTCGAGTTCGTGAGAGCTCCCGAAACCCCGAAAACTCGCAGAATTGAAGCGGAGAGCTCTCGTCGATTCTGCGAGACTGCCGCCCACCCCAGTCACAGTCCTGAAGGAGAATGCAGATGATTACGAAGTCGAAGATTGGAGCGACGACCGACGACAGATAGGGAAATGAAGGAGAGAAAGTCATGAGTTCAAATGAATTGCTATTCGGGGCTGTGAATACTGCGCATGCATGTGTGTGGCTGGTCACTCAAACGCGATTCCCATCACTGATTAAATCTAACATCGCCATCTTCTCGAGATGATCATTATCATCCTCGCCTCTGCTAGTTTACGGGAGAATGCAGACTGTCGATGAGCTCGGCAAATCATCGTGCTCAGAACAAACATAATTGAATTATCAATCATCATCATAGCACCATGAGGACGGCGAGCAAGATTGGTCTGGAAGATACTTCATTCACCAGGAGAACACAATTTATAATCGCTCCGAATATCATCCTCACAGCCATAGTGAAGGCGGAGGCGCATTTCTCCCGATCATGAGCCATTTTCGAGGAGCCGTCGATAGCCAATCATCGATTCATGAACTGCCGATGCAGTCATCTGTGTGTCGAGCAATCATCCGGGAAGAAGACTCGGAATGTGCGTGATTAATAGGCGTGAATTCTCCTTTTTGATTGACAGAGACAACTATGAGAGCAGATAGCATATAAACATGAACAATAATAATCAATGAATCCCGAGGAGCCATGGGAATATGGAATTTTGTGAAGGACTCGAGAGAGAGTTACAGCCATTCCAAGCAAAGCATCTGACTCGGAAAGTTCGAGCAGATCGGCTAACGAACTTAGAGGCCATAAATGAAAACTCTGTTTATCATAGGTCTAATGTCGTTTCAATTCGTCGGTGTGTCAGAATTCCTCCCGAGTGATTAGAATCTGATCGGAAAATCGATGTATGCGATGATCATAAAGATGGGACAGTTTGAGCATCAAGCATTCGAGATAGGATATATTGTTGATGGGGAGCGCTCGCCTTTGTTTATCGGAGACTTTTCAAGTCTCGTCTCCCGTTGAGTCCGGAGAAATAGGCCGTCTAATATGGAGAAAGATAAATGGGGTATCGCGGGTCGATGAACCGCGTTTTCTCGCACTCTGCGCGGATGACGCTCTAAGAGCTGTCTACCGACCTGGTGCTGAGATCCCAAACGGGGTCGTCAATCCGATCCCGATCCACCGACATGATTGGAAAGACGGCTGATCGAGACTGATGAAGGCATTCTAATTGGAACACAGACCAAATCGCTCGCATACGGTAGGCGGGAGCTCCAAGAAAAGAAACTTGCTACTGTGGATCGTATTCAATTTCGTTTGCTCTCCTCCTTGTTGTTTTGCAATGTACAGCAGAACGAATTGTATGCGGATAGGTGACGATTGAAAATGTTTCCAATGATTATCATAAGCATCAGGGGTCGAGCTGTCACGTTCACTGAATCGGAGATCTGACAAGTGATCTATCTTCTCCTACATATCAAACTCCAAAATAAGGCAAAATCCCGGAGAAGGGGACATCCTTTGTTCGATTGAAGGTAGTAGATTGTCCCAGCTGCTGGGGATATGGAGGCCCTTATGAAATTCATGAGAATGGTAGAACTTGCCACATCGAGAGAAATAAGTAACATCGACTCCCACGGCACGACCAAGACCCTGGGAGCCGGAGTCTCGACTGTCCATCGAGGAAGCTTCGGTTACGCTAGGCATCGGGGACAGGATAGCATTCTTTCTGGGTCGATCAGTCGTATATTCTTGCTTAAAGCTGAAAAACTCTCGAAAATCCGAAGATCCTTTCGTGAGCATCGACCGAGACTCGGTTGTCCAGCGTCGATACCGGGGAGCCGGAATTTAATTGTACGAGAATGGATACGCGTCCAAAGATGCGCTAAGGGTGCGGATTCGGACCCCGAATCGTCGGCTGCTCCGTCACTACCCCGGAGAAACGAGGAATAATTCTAGAATCAAAGAGAGTTCCGATCGGCCGGCTGCCTCCCGATCGATCCTCGAATATCACTCTGTGTTGACTCTGTGAATATCTCAACGATGTATACGAATGGTCCTGGATGAGAGCTCCAGGGGATTCGGAATGAATGACTATGTTTTTGTCCCGCTGAGCGGAAGTTTCTCAGCTGCATCTATTCGACCGAAATGGAATTTTGTCTCGACTCAAAACCATGAGCCTGCCCTCATCGTTCCAAGCTGATCATGTATCGGTTTTCCATCTCTATTCTTCCTTTGTTATGGAATACTTGGGAGCGATTACCACCGGCAGGCACCTCAGCTACTCTAGTGATTACCATGGAGAATTGTGCGATTGTATGATTGACAGAAGCCTACAGAACGAGAGGGGAATATTATGCTTGAGCAGGCGGAAACTATAGGAATACGCGAATTCTTCGATGAGACAAAGTTGTGTGTGATCTGCTGATATTGATAATATATATTTATTTTTCAAAATAAACGAATAAGTGTTGTCTCTGGAATATGTGCGTCATTCTCTGGACAGCCATTTTCTGAATTCTAGCTTCGAAATATCCGAAGGCGCATTTTAGCGCGCCATTCTATTTTATTTCACTCGGTGAGTGTCTCTGGAAGGACGAAAATAGATGTGATTCCGGATCGCAAGTACGACGTGGATCTTTGCACGCTTCACGCTTGGAAGTTCCATTCGATACAAGGATAAGCTCGCAAGGCTCCGCCTTCTAGTCCAATATCTCGCGGGCTAGACCAAACAATTTAACTCTGAGTAAGGGGTAGAAATCCACGACTAGGTCTAGCTTCGCGGGTCGAATTCTGGGCACAAGTTCTCGCAGGGATCGAGGCCGGCAACCCACTTCACCGGAAGAAAACTCTGTTAGGAAACTTCGTAGGGAAATTTTCCCGGCAAGAGGGGTCGGGTCTTTGCCGCCTCAAGCGCGAGTACCAACACTTCACAATCTCGGTTGCGGCCTTTCACGCATTGAGTTCGATTCCGTAACTGCTCTCGATTCTGTGAGTGGGAGAAAGAATCATGACAGCAGGGAATAAGGGGTGACTTACTCTAGACGTGACCGCGAATGAAAGACGCCGTGAAATATTGTGAAGCATGTGTATTCCGTGAATAAAACATTCTGAATGAATCTATACAGTCCGACGATGTTGTTGTCCCCCCTTGGAGCTCGTGTAGAAGTCGATGGAATCGAAGGCTCATTTGGATTTCTTGTCTTCGATGTCTGTCAATGGTTTCTGCCAGTTTAGGGGTTTCAATTGGAACCAAGGCCAATTGAAAAGACACACCAGGCATGACAACAAGCAACCACAGCCCAAGGTGAGTATCGAGTACGAGTACATCTGGAAAGCATAGCCGATACAGAAGCCCACGATGGCAGCTAGGACGATGATCAGCTGGAAGATTTTCTCGGCCCGTCGCTGCCCCTCGAAATCCTGTAGGATGAGAGTGATTTTAGGATCTGTGGATGATTCCTCCGAGAGCGTTGGGACTAGCGTCTGCGTTCTCCATTAAACGATAGAAGACACCTTTGAAATCAAACACTCTTGGATACGGCTCCAGTTCTAGATCATGCGGAGAGAAGCGTCGGTTCCAGCAAGATTGGATCCGGACTCTAATAAGGGTTTCTTTCATGCCCATTGGTGGAGCCAGATCTCCAAGGGGCCCAGCTAAACCCCGAGAAACTACAAGCTACTCCTCAATATTATTCTGTAGGGAGACAAGTTTTCGACAGGACCGGCATCGGGGGCAATCCCGAAAATGCCGGCCAGACGCACGGCACCTATTCTTCCACAAATCAAGTGGAGGCCTGATTGCAACCTGATTGCATCTGTTCGAAGATCGATGCCATCCACTCAGAACCCTACTCCGAGAAGCAAGCTGCGATCGGAAGGGGGCAGATGAGGGATTTATTCACGGCACACGATGTTTAGAGTCGACGTATCCCGGGCGCATTCTCGAATATGTAGACTGCCGTCACTTCAATACTGATATTTACCATAAAGAGCCATGAGTTGATGTAGCTCCAGATGGGCAGAGAGCTGATGAAACAGGCCATTTCGATTTTTAAACTCGGATTCAGTCTAAGCCTCACGAGAGCAGATGTGAAAAGTGACACTCGACACACGTCACTGTTCCGAAAACACACACACTCACACATCAACAGAATCCGGAGACAGGACACAGTCAGACGGCCGCTAAAACAGAGGGATATCTCGTTTTGTTGGCTGCTGACACCGAAAATGATAGCTCATGAGCTTGACGAACGATTTTTATGCCGAACGAGAGGTGCGAGAAGCTCTCTCCCCTCGACCCCTTCTCAATGAACCCCCTGATTCTAAATGAGTATCAGGGGCAAAGGGAAGAACTCTGGGATGTTCGCCTGATCGAGGGCGCTGCACCAGAACGAGGTTCGAGTATACCCGCCGCGGTGCAGGCTCTCCCCCATCAATAAATTAGACTTTGGGTTGAATGCGAGGCTCGGATCAGCTGCTCATCGGAATCTTGAACCATCTGAGAGATTCCTTAAGTCGATTCTCTCGCGCCAAGACCTTCCCGCGGGAGTCTCCAGACGCCCTTACACTGCGGCGTTGATGGGCCAATTTCGACTTCGGAGGCTTTCTAATGGCTTGAGACTTTCAAGCTATGAGTTATGCTCAGAGCCTAGCGAAGCGGGGCTCCTCTCCGGCTGTCGGCCCCGCCCGTGAAATCAAGCGCCCTGGACCAGTGCGCGCATGTTTCCTTGCTTTCTCTGTGCTCCCTTACCTTCCGCCGGGACAAATCGATTATACGTTCGAACATTACGCCCGCGAAGCTGTCGCCATCGATCCCCGGGTGCGTGAGCTCGCCGAGTACTCCTGGACGATATATTATCGAATTCTCCCGCAATACTCTAATGCTGCAATTATTTTTCCCAGCTCCAAACTTTCGTGGATTACGTTGGCAATCAGTGGCTTCAACGTATCGGGGCGGCTCGCCTCTCGCTTTATAGAGCTCCTGTGAACACAAACAATGCGGTAAAAAGTGATAACGCTTTACTTAGGAGGGAAGTGGGCGCCGACCCCCGAGTATGGGATCTGATGCGTGCGTATGCTTCACTTGGCAGTCTCTCTCACTCATAGGCGTGCTCTGGGGGGGAGGGGTAGGGGGACCATGGCCCCCTAGATAGCCTCCCGTCCTTATCTTAAAGAATAGGACAGAGGGAGGCGCGTCATCTGTTGGCCCCGTCTCCATAGGCGAAAACGGATTTTACCCCCTCCCCCCCATGCCCCTCTTCTTCTGAGGAACTCTTCTTATCGGGCTGAGATGAAGGTAAGACATTAGCTCACATTTCCAGAGGTTTTGTGCGGAATGGCTCAAGATGTGCCGATCGATCTAAAAGCATTAGCGAGCGGGGCATCCAAAATATTCGATCAGCGCCGAATCGCCCTACCCGAGTCCACGCGCAGAAGCTTCGCCTGTTTTGGGCTGAGCTTGATGCGGGGAGGATTTCGCCGATCGAATTTATCGAGCAAATTAAGTTCAGGCCAAGACGTGGTGAGACTTTCGCCGCCTTGTCCCGCCTGCACTGATATCATTCTGACCGAAAATAGTACGCTTCGCTGTAATCTTCCAGGCGCTGCTCCCGGCCGTTCACCTGCACTCGAGGCTATAGAAGATGAAGAAAGGGTGTTGAGTCCGACTGAGACCTCAAACGAGGCTCTCCTCTTTGATCTTTAGCGCGATGTCTGCCGACGGCGACCATACCTACAGTGTCCCTTCAACGTCTGCACAGCATTAGCTGCTCCGCAAGCCTTAGATCTAGGACCCCGTCAGTCAGATCTGTCCAGCTAGGGGGAACGATGCCTCCGAAGATTTCGAGGAAACTGTTATTGATGAATGATATAATCGGAATGTTGGGCGAAAACCAGCCTCTTATTTGATCCAGGAATATCCCTATTGATATCCAATCATGTCAATCATTTTATCATTTGCGGCCTCGTATGTCGAGTTTGCCTGTTGCATCTCGAATGAAGGAACTCTTCCGATCCAGAGGTATATCTTTTTCATTTTGAGGAAGGTAGGAGCGATCCATTTTCGGATGCCTTCTTCGAAAATCATCGATTCATGATCAGTTTCTCTAGCTCCAGCGAAGCTCACCAGCTCCAGCACTAGCTATTTCGCGCTTCTCCCCGCCGCTGAAACGGCGGAGGCTCATACAATTACTCTCTCCGATGTCCGCCTGCTAGCTGGCACCGACTAGCACGTATTCCTACGACTTGGCCCTTCTGAGAGGACGGAAGCCCGACCGGCTCATTCTCTCAGCTGTGGTGACAACGTTGCGTGATCGACATCGAAAAACTTCCGACAGACGGAGACGATAACTATACAGACGAGGATTGACAAGTTTTTTCCCGATTATCAGCATATTAGCCTCAGTTCGAGGTGAGTCAGCCTGTCAGCTGCCGAGCGCTCCGAGTCAAATAAAGGGTACAGCTGGGTAAGGGGGCGTTTTCGGCCACGACTCCGATTTTCGAAATGGATTGCGTGGCGTAATGTCCCACTCTTTAGGAGCATATTGACGCACTCAGATCATCTCAATCGCTTTTCAAGTCCGAATGGTACGCGAAAGAAAAATTAAAGTGTGTTCGGACCCCTGAAAACACCTGAAATCTTTGAACGGTCATTGCGCGAGAACGGGATGAGCTAGAGACTCGCGCTTGGTGGAGTTCGAAAGCTGGGAACAAGAGCTACAAAACCATGCCCCAATCACCGTCCTGAGATATTTTCTCCATGAGATACAGATCGATTTTTCGTCTGGAAAAATCACTTTTTCATGATTTTCCCGGAAAAAAATGTGATTACCAAGCTGGAATCGCTTGGGACAAGTTTTTTTAAGAC